TTTTTTATTTATATATGATGAATTAACGGTTAATAAATAAAAAATATCATTATTCTTCAAATACTTTAATTTAAAATTTTAAAAATACTTTAATTTAAATTATTCAGTTTTCTTAAAAATATTCAAGTTGAAACACATAGCTTTGGGATGGTGCAAACTGGCACACAAACAAGATTTTGTTCAAAGTGAAAGAACTCCTTGCAAATTAGATCCAGGCATGTCAGCAAAACACTGCTTGCCCCACTAGCAATGCAACGTATAGACCAACTCCCAAACCTGATATCCTCAAGTCAATACCAGTCATGATATTTTTATAGCTCATAAACAAAATAATAAATTAGAGTCCCTAAAATAAGTATTAAAATATAAAAATATATTTTATAAAAAAATTGACACGTAATTTTATTAAAAAAAATTGTACATCTTATTATATTAAGTGAATAATATAAGTTAACATAGAGGGTGATCGATAAAGAGAAAACTTGCACATTCTTATGAATTAGAGTGATATGAGTAAATCTCCTCTAAGAGAATGCTTTTTATAAGAATCGAGTCACGGATATCTTGAATGGCAAATTTTTTTAGAGTGCATTTTTTATTTATTAAAAAACAACTTTTTTAATAAGATCTTTTTAGAATTATTGTTTAATACAAAATTGAATGAATGCTCTTTTTCATAATAAAAAAAACAAATAAATTGAATGGTAGTTAAAGTACAAATGTGCAATCTTATTCTATTTTGCGGTAAAGTCTATCTCCGATTATTTAACATAATTGCATATTTAAGATGTAATCCTATTTTCTAAAAATATTTAAAAAATATAAAATAAATTCAAGGTGTTAATGTGAATAAGAAAATAAAATTGGAAGTATTTTCTCCTTTAACTTTTCTTGAAATATGATAGATTAAAAAAATTAGACCTCTCTCAATTGACACAATCATTCTTGAAATGGATTGCCAAATAATTGTTCAGAGTATCAATAGGTCCCAAAGAGATTTCTCTAAATGTGGTGATACTATTCACTAGCGTAGAGCATAGCTAGACAAACAAATTCAGTTAACAGGTTAGGACAATTGAATTATAGGTTGGTGTTAGCGACTTTAGTTACATCTCGTGTTATATTATTTATTCATTCAACAAATTATCAATAAAGTGAATTTTTTTTAAAAGATAAATAATTACAAAGATGGTCGCAATGAGAATTGAATATAAAGTTTATGCTTCTAACTACCACAATATTTTCTCACTCAATTACTACACTAATCCTAGTGGTTATTAATAAAGCGAGTTAAATTTGTTTCTATAAATAAATTAATAAAAATTTACTTATATATTATATGGTTTAAAATATTTTTTGTGTTTAAAATTTAAGATCTAGAATTTTGTGCTGTTGAAAAAAAAGTTGTTTAAAATATTAATTTAATAGTACATGTAGTTTTTTTTAAAGTAATAGTACATATAGTTAACATAAATAAATTAAAGATTAGATATATTTTTAATTTTTTAAATTTGACACATTTTTTTACTCTCTCAAATTTAAAGTTTGTATTTTTAATTTAAAATTATTTGTATTTTTAATTTAAAATTTGTTTAAAATATTATTTTAGACCCTCAAATTTAAAACTTATATTTTTAGTCTTTAAAATATAAAAAAAATTATTATTTGACTCTCTCATAGTTTATCATTATCAATTATATTATTAAGGACAAATAATTTTTTTAAGATTACAAAAATTAAAAAGATTAATTCTAAATTTGAAAGACTAAAATAATAAATTTTAATATTTTAGAAATAAAAGATATAAATTTTAAATTTGAAATATATATATATATATATATATATAT